AGGAGGAGGAGGAGGAAAGAGAGAAGCAAATGCAACAGCAAAAGCAGTTGCAGCAACAGCAACACCAGGAGCAGGAACAACAGCAGCGGCAGAGAGAGGAGGAAGAGGAGGAGGAGGAGAAGGAGAAGGAGAAGAAGGAGGAAACAGAGAAAACGAAAATGTACAAGAGGTATCAGAAAAAAAAAAGGAATCAGAAAAAGAAGAGGAAGAACGAAGAGCAATACAAGAAGATGAAGTCGTCTAAGAGAAATGTTCTCGTGGATATGTGGGATAAAGACGTAGTTTCACCATCGTCGGTTTCTTTGCTGTTGCCAACGCTTTCTATTTATGGGCCAGTTCCACACAAAGGAGGAGGAGAAGAAGAAAGAGGAGGAGAAGCGGCGAAGAATGGAAGAAGGGGGCGGTTACATATTTAGCTTTTCCATTTACTTACATTCCCTTCTTGATATATATCAGAAGCAGCTGCCCGGCGTATATGGATATAGCAGCAGCAATGACTACTGCTGCGGTAGCTCTTCTACCTGCAGCACGCTTCTTCCTTCATCCTTCCCCACATCTTAATCATCTTCTCCCATTGCTGCTGCAAACAGAAAACCAAAAACAAGACCCGCAGCAGCAGCAGCAGCTTCATGTGAGATGCGCCAGTCTCCTGCTGCTGCCGCTGCTGCTGCTGCTGCTGCTCCTGCTGCGCTTTGTTCTCAGCCCCACAATGAAAACGAAGTTGGAGGAAAGTTATTTGCTGCTGATCCTTCGCCTCTACCTCGTCTTCTTTCTACTCCTGCTGATCCCGCTGGTAGGGGCCGTGCTACTTCTTCTACGTCTTGCGGTGCTGCCGCTGTTGCTACTGCTGCGGGCAGTACAGTAATGACTGGCACTATTCCTGCTGCTGTTTCTGCTGCAGAACAGTTTGCTGCTGTTCTTATCAGTGCTGCTGCTGCTGCTTCTAGTCATCGGGCCCTCCCTCCAAACAAAGGTACTCCTGCTGCTGCTGCAGCAGCCAGTTCCCAGACTGACAACACTCCTGCCGCTGCTGATAGTAGTATTAGTGGTGGTAGCAGCAATAGTGACAGTAGCAGTAGTACTCATAGTAGTTGTCCCGGGTGCTGCTGCTACTGGTAGTTGTAGCACTGGCAGTAGTCGTGGTTCTGCTGCTGCCGCTGCTGGTACGAGTCGTCGTAGCAGCGATAGTACTCCTGCTGCTACTGGTGCTGCTGATGGCAGCAGTGGTCGTAGTGCTGCTGCTCGTATTGCTGCTGAAAGTCCTTATGGGAGTCATCCTGCGGCTGCTGCTAACTGTTGTGGTAACAATGATAGCCCTGCTGCTGCTCGTGCTTTTTCTATGCGTGTTGCTGCTGTTAGCGATATGGCAGGAGACGCACATAAAGTAGTCGATGTAGCAGCAGCAGGATGGGGTCGTTTGCTGTTGTGGTATGTCTTTAAGAGACGAATTTCTGCTGCTCTTCTCCTGCAGCACCAGCGGCACCGGCAGCGGCACGAGCAGCAGCAGCTGCAGCGGCGGCACGAGCAGGAGCAGCAGCAGCAGCACGAGCGGGTCCAGCAGCAGCTTGGTACGACCTCACCTGTTGTGGCTGCTGCAGCGTCAGCCGCTCTAAGGCAGTCTGCTCCAGTAGAACAGCAGCAGCAGGTAAAGAAGGGCGAAGAAGATGCTCACCGGGGTAACGGGCAGCAGCAGAAAATGCAGCAGCAGCTGCAGCAGGACCACGAGCAGGAGCAGATGCAGCAGCAGGAGAGCGGAGAATGTGCGCACAAAGAACAAGTACAAAAGACGAAGCAGCAGCTGCAGCAGCAGCAGAAAGAGGAGGGAAGGAGATGTACCCAGACATGTACTAGTGGTTGTCAGCTCGAAGAACAACAGCAGCAGCAGCAGCTCGTGGGGCTGCTTCTGTGGAGGGTTATAGAAGCATTTGTTGCGGCAGTAGCAGAAGCAGCAGCAGGCGCACGTCTTCAACAGCAATTAGATGGAGAACTCAGTAATGTAGAGGCCCAGCAACCGCAGCAGCTGCAGCAGCAAACGCAAACGCAGCAGCAGCATCAGCTGCAGCACCAGATACAGCACGCAACCGAGGAGCAGGATGTATTCAGTATGAGCCGGAGACAGCAGCACAATCCTGACGAGCAGGAGCAGCAGCAGGATAAGAAAAACAACGCGGTTGTGAAGCAGGAACAGCAGCAGGACCATATAGATACACAATTTATAGATATATATAGTGACAAGGGGAGTAAATACTTGCCTGTGGAACTATTGTTACGTGCCATCTTCTTTTCGGAGAACACTACCTCATCGTCTTTGCTTCTGCATGTGTACAAGAAGCAGCAGCAGTAGCAGCAACAAAAAGGGAAGCAGCAACAGCAGCAGATGCAGCAGCAGATGCAGCAGCAGATGCAGGAGCGGCAGCAGCAGACGAAGAAGAAGAAGATACAGAGAAAGATGAATATAGGACCCCAGAGGCAGCTCGCGAAGATTTAATAATCCGAATAATGGGAGCTCTGCGCCGAACACGTGCGGAAGAGGCGTACAACGGCAGCAGCAGCAGCAGTAGTAGGGCTGTATGGCTGAAGCATTTCAGCAGCAGCAGGAGGAAAATGAGGAGGAATGGAAGTAGGAGAAGCGGCAGCGACAGACAGCAGCGGCAGCAGCAAAATAGTAATAATAGGAGAGTACACTTGGATAACAGCAGCGGCAGCAGCATCAGAAGAAGAATAAGAGAAAGAAGTAGTAGAGGCATACAACAGTTTATGGGCGGAGTAATGAGGCGGGGACAAGAACACAACAGTAGCAGCAGCAACAACAGAAGTGAAACAGAAGACGATGACTTTAAAGAAGAAGAGGAAGAAGAAGAAGAAGACGAGTATAACGTAGCAGCAAGAGCAGCAGCGGCTGCTTGTATGTCAGTACTATGCCAACTTGAAAATTATGTTGCGAGAAGACCTGTGTGACGCAGCAGCAGCGACACCAACAGCAGCGGCAGCCGCAGGAGCAGCAGCAGCAGGAGGACGACCAGCAGCAGCAGGAACAGAAGCAGCAGCTGTGGCTGTGGGGCAGAGACGTCTACAACTGCTGCTGCAGCAAGCTGGTGGATATTCTACGCTGCTACAATATATAGTGCAAGAGGCAGATATGTCTGCTGCAGTTGCTGGTGAAGTTGCTGCTATAAATGAGGCAGCCGCTGCTGCAGCACGTGCAGCAACAGGAGCAGCAGCAGCAGCGCCTGCAAGTCCTGCTGCATCTGTGGAGTGTTTTACTGATGAAGATATATTTGATACATATGATGGAGATTTGCCTTTACACCAGCAGCAAGTGCAGCAACAGCAGCGCCACTGGCAGCAGCAGCAGCAGCAACAGCAGCAACGAAACCTGGATGCAGATGGTACCGGTGCAGAAGAGGAAGAAGAGGAATGGTGTGTTTTACGTATACGAGGAGCAAATAGAGCGGAAGCAGCAGCAGCAGAAGCAGGACTCGCAACAGCAGAAACAAAAGCATTGATCAGCAGAGGTGTACAGACAGATGTAGATCAATACAGCAGCAGCAGCACCACTAGCACCAGCTTCCGAGAACAACACGATATAGACCTAACGCAGCAGCCAAGCGCTCTGCAGCAGCAGCAGCAGCACCAACACGAACAACAGCAGCAGCAACAACACCAGCAGCAGCAGCAAGAACAGCAGCAGCAACAACCACAGGAGGAACAGGAGCAGGAGCAACAGCAGCAGCACCAGCGGCAACACCGGCAACAGCAGCAGCTGCTGGAGTACTCTGGGGAGGAAGAGAAGGAGAAATCTGCTGCTATACAAAAGGACGAGAACACCTAGTACAAGGAAAGTGTTCTGAATTACGAACTGAAGCAGCAGCGGCTGCTTCTTCTGCTGCCAGAGTGGCTGCTGTTAACACTGTTGCACATACAGGAGAAATGAATAGGGAGGACACACCGCTGGATACTACTGCTGCTGTTGCTTCATCTATCACTCCGTTACCTCTTGAACTCGAGAAAGGAGTGAACGAAGGAGATAATAGAAGCAAAGCCGCCCTCCCTACTGCTGCTGCCCGCTGCTTTTTCTTCGTCTCCTCCTGCTGGGTGTCCTGCTGCTATTGCTTCTGGCGCTGCAGCAGCAGCAAACGAAGGGAGTGCTGCTGTTCTTTCTTCTTGTTCTGCTGTTTGTGCGACAGGTAGTTATCAAGAATCGGTTAGTGCTACAGATGCATACAAGGATACGTCGCGGCCACATGTTGGTACTGCTGCTGCCGCTGCCGAAAGTACTACTATTGATGTCGTCCCAACGAAGGTTGCTTCAGCGGATACAACAATAACAACGACAGAAGTAGCAGCAGCAGCAGCAGCAGAAAAGCAGCAGCAGCAGCTGCAAGGGCAGCAGCAGCCGCAGCAGCAAGGGCAGCAGCAGCAGCAACAACACCAGCAGCAGCAGCAGCAACAGCACCAGCAGCAGCAACAGCGGCAGCGCGAAGATATATCTACAGTCTCCCTGACACCCGCTGGAGCCCACATACGTCTCAAGGATCATGAAACACCAGAGGGAATGAATGACAGCATTGTAGTCAGCAACAGTAGCAGCAGGCTATGCAGTAGAAGCAGCAACAGCAACAGGAGCAGCAGGAGCAGATACATGCTTTTTACGCACGCGCAAGCATTTTATCGAAAAGATACGTAGAGAGGAATTTGGTATAGGGCTTGCTGCTGCTGATGCTGTGAGACAATACAAATGTAAAAACCGCAGCACGAACAGCAGCAGCAGCTATAACAAGACTAACATATCGAAAAGGGAATTGCAGGTTACACGTGTTTTACAACGGCAGCAGCAAAGACTACGACGAGCACTGCAGCGGCTCTCGCGAGATTTATATGCAACAGATCATCATCTTCTACTCGAATTGATACAAAATGCTGACGATGCGTCATATTCGCTTCTTTTCGGAACAAGAGAAGAACACTTATATGCACTAGACAATGAGTACGAACAGCAGCAGAACAGCAGCAACTGCAACAGCAGCAGCAGCGGGAACAGGAGCAACAGCGAAAGCACGGTGCATCACGCTCTATATTACAAGTTTCCGCTGCTCTCATGAACACAGTTGCAACAGCAGCACCAGCAGCAGCAGCAGACGTAAGTGCAACAGCAGCAGCAGTAGCGCCGACACCAGCAGCAGCAACAACAGCAACAGCAGCAGCAACACCAACAGCAGCGTCAACAGCACCAGCGATAGACGAAGTAAATATGAATAGTAAGGAGGCCCTATACAGTACGTTTCTATATCCTATGTTACATATAGATATAAGTAGTATAGGCGTGATAGTTTACAGCAATGAAGATGGCTTTACGTATAAAGATGTACGAGCTATATGTGATGTAGCACGCAGTAGCAAAGCAGCAGATGTCGATGGTAGTGATGGAAGAAGAAGAAGAAGAAGAAAAAGAAACAAAAGAAGTAAATGAAGAAGAGGAACGAGAAGAAGAAGTTCTAGCAGCATCAACAACAATAGCAGCAACAGCAGCAGTAACGGCAGCAGCAGGCTCCACAAACGTAACAGCAGCAGCAGCAGAAGATACAAAGACAGTGCAGCAGCAGCTCGACAGCGACTCGTCTCTAGAGGGAAACAGAGAGAACAAATACTCTACTACCAAAAAAACTGCTAACACATTCGCCAGCAATAATGCTCCTAGCACTCTCTCCGTACAAGAGCAGCAGCAACAGCAGCAACCGCCGCAGCAACGACAGCAGCAGCAGGAGCAGCAGCAGCAGCAGAAGCAGCAGCAGCAGCGACAGCAGCAGCACCAGCATGACGACAAAGACGAAGAGCATAAGATTATTACTACTACTAGTAACAACACTAATACACATATTCATAGTACTAAATATGCAGTAATAACAATAGTGTGTATGTTGTAGACTATGCAAAGAATAAAATAGGGAAATTCGGACTAGGCTTCAAAGCGGTGTTTAGTATAACTGATAGACCCCACATCTTTTCTAATGGGTTTTCTTTTATGTTTGATAGTACACATCCAAGTGGCTTAGGAATGATACTACCTACATGGCTGCACCCGCCATTGTTCATCTATCACATACCCGTCACAACAGCTACTACTATAGTCACTACTACTACTACGACTACTACTGCTAGTATAGATATGAAAACTAGCAGTAGTGGTAGTAGTATTGAGAGCAATAGTATTGCTGCTGCTACGACTGCTCATCCCGCGAGTGCGATGTACAATAGTCTTGATGATGATAGTAACACTAATACTGGTAGTAATGGTAGTACTGATAGTAATACTCGTGATAATTGTAGTGATATGTATATTGATAGGGCTACAGATAATGACTGTAATAGTAATACTTCTTATAGTAACAATAGTAGTGACAGGATATCTGACCATAGTAATCGTAATAAAAGCAGGATTACCAATAACATTAGAAATGATAAGAACAATAGCAATTATAGTGGCGATTATGCCGGTAGTCTCTCCCTTGCTATATTAGATCAATATTGTCTTGATAGTGTGACAGATAAGATATCACAAAGTGGAGTACTCGAAGGGAAAAGAAATACTATAGCCTCCTACGTACACTACAAACACAAATATCCCTCGTATGTATCTCTGCAGGAGCTGCACCAGCAGCACCTGCAGCAGCAGCGACAACGCCGAGAGACAAAGCAGCAGCAAGAGCAGCAGCAGCAGCAGCAAGAGCAGCAGCAGCAGCAGCAACAGCAGCAGCAGCAACAGCAACAGGAGCAGCGGAAGGAGGACGCGCAAAATATATGTGGCTTGCCTTTGAGAACTGCAGCTTGTCAGTGGCGTACCATCTTTTGGCTGCCTCTAAAATTATCTCTTCTTCCTTCTTCTTCTTCTTTTTCCTCGCCGTCTTCTTCTTGTAGCAGCAGAAGCAGCAGCACAAGGACTAGCAGCAGCAGCAGTAGGAGCAGCAATAGCAATAGCAGTTGTGACGGTAGCCACAGCGGTACCAACAGCAGTAGTATCATCAGCAACAACAGCAGTACCAACAGTGAAATCAGTAGTATTACTGGGAAGATAAACAATCGATGGTCTACATACAATCGCGGTGTGGGGTGGCGACTAGCTATACTTGATGCAGAATTACTGCTATTCTTAAGGAAACTGAGACGGCTCAGTACATGGTGTTCCTTCGAGGGCGCTGCAGCAGCAAGATTTCAAGTTGTTGAGAAGAATATATGTTGTCATATGTGCGTCTCTCTCTCACATGCAGCAGCACGTGCAGCAGCAGAAGCAGCAAAACTAGAAGCAGCAAAAACAAAAGCAGCAAACGCAGCCGAAGCCGAAACTGTTGCAGAAACAACAGCAGCAATAGCAGCAGGAGAAACCACTGCAGCAGAGATTGCAGCAGCGGCAGCCCCAGGAGCAGAAGCAGCACCCTCGTACGCAGATAGAAGTCATATAGGAGAATGTACATATCCGAGAAGCGCAGCAAGTGGAAGAGAGGAGGTACAGCAGCAGCAGCAGCCGCAGCAAGTGTATAGTGGTGATAACAATCCTTTATCGTGGTGGGGTAGGGAAGCAGCAGATGCTGCTGCTACGTTTCTTGCAGCCGCAACAGCAGCAGCAGCAGCAGGGCGTCCTTCGAAACCAACATCAATTGATGCAGCATCAGGAGAACATTCTGGACGGCTGGTAGTAAAGGCGCCACTTTCTACAACGAGAACAGCAGCAGCCGCAGGAAAAGCAGCAGCAGCAGCAGCAAAAGCGGCAGCAGCAGCAGCAGCGGCAGCAGCAGCAGCAGCAGCGACAGCAGCAGCTGCAACAACGTATCATACTGAAGCGGGTCTGCCACCTGATGAGGTGTGCCTTGATGCAATAGAGCTACGTTCAACTATCCTGCATATTCCTGTGCGGCATGTAGCAGCAGCAGCAGTAGATACAACAGCAACAACAGCAGGTAACACTACAGCGCCAGCGGCAGAAGCGCTGGAAGCACCTACTACTGCAGCTACAGCAGCAGCGGAGAGTATAAATACGGCCACATCAGCCGCAGCAGATAAAGCAACAGCAGCAGCAGCAGGTATACATACGACAACAACAGCAGCTGCAGCAGCTGGAAGTACAACAGCAGGAGAAGCAGTAGGAGAAGTGATAAGAAGGAGAGAAGAAGGAGGAAGAGAAGAAGAAGTAGCAACAGCAGCAGCATCATCAGCAGCAGCGGCCTGCAGGGGAAGCTGCAGCAGGGACAGGAAAGGTGCCTGACATACATGTCGATGGTCAGCAGCAACAGCAACAACGAGAACAGCAGCAGCAGCAGCACCAGAAGGAAGTTCGCACAATACGTGGAGAAAACGAAGAAGAGGAAGACACGCAAGATCTAGGAAAAGAAGAAAAAAAGAAAATCTGTGTATGTGCTGCGTACGATGAAACTGAGGTGCGACGCTGGTTACTACTACGTAGACGCTTCACTATACGGCTTCTACAAGAGCAAGACTCTTCAGTAGAAGCATCTGCTGCTGGTGCTGGTATTCCTTCTTATTATTCTGCTGGTGCTGCTGCTGCTGCGTCTGCTGCCGGACCCCCGTATCCTGCCGCTGCTGCACCTGCCCTTGCTTCTGCTGCTGCTGCTGCTCGGGGTGCAACAGGCTGCATATCTCCCCCTGTTTCTTCGTGTCCTTTGTCTCCTTCTGCTGCGGTGTTCTTTTCTTCTTCTTCTTCTTCTTCTTCTTCTTCTTCGTGTACAAAATTGATTCATACAGAAATAGTACTTGCTTTTCCTATAACTCCTAGTGGATATGCACTAGCAGGACTGATACCTAGATCAGAACTGCCTGTACGTCGGTGCCTTTACAATAGTGCGGCAGCAGCAGCAGCCGGAGAAGGAGGAGCACCAACCGGAGCTGCAATGACACTGGCTACACCAGGAATAGCAACATCAGCGCCGCCAACGAAAGCAGCAGCAACAGGAGCTGCAGCACCAGCAACAACGGGAGCAGCAAGAAAAGCAGCAAAAGCGAGGGAAGCAGGAGAAGAAAGGGGATCATCATCGGCAGCAGCATTCGAGGCAGCTACATTATATGTGAGTGCCTGTAGATTATTTCTTGGTTGTAATCATGTAAGTCGGAGTGGACCAGAGGAAGAAACGGAAAAAGAAGAGGAAGAAGAAGAAGAAGGAGAAGAGCAGCAGCAGCAACAACAACAACAACCACAAGTGTATGTATCTCCACAGCGTGTATTTACTTTTCTTCCCATACGTAGTTATGGACTGCCTTTCGCTGTGCATGCACCTTTCACTCTCACTGCTTCTCGAGAATCGATACGCGTAGATGATATACACACACAACATCTATTAGCGGCAATACCTTCTACATTTCTTGCTGCCGTTGAAGCAGCAAAGGCCTCATCATTCCTTCCCTTGCAGCTATCATTTCTGAGATATGTACCTTTCTCTGTGTATGATCAAGTGGACGGTTGTAGTACCTCACACGCCGCACTAACAGGAGCAGCAGCAGCAAGATCTACAGCAGCAACGGAAACAGCAAGATTGGGGGCAGCAACAAGCTCGACGGCAGCCTCAGCGATTACGGCAGCGGCAGCTGCAGCAGCAGCAGTACGCGGAGGAGGAGGAGTTGGCAGACGTGGTATTACTGCAATGGATAACGTACTTACAGCAGCAACCGCGACAGAAGCGACAGCAGCAGCGACAGCAACAGCAGCAGCACCCGCAGGCGATGAAGATATATTCGAGCCAGTAGCACGGGCTATACGGCGCTCAATGCGTACATATCCATGCATCATGGCTCTCAGTCCTACTGTTGCTCCTGCAAATACGTGCACAAGTGGATACGCGCAGAACAATAACAGCAGCTGTAGCAGCAGCAGCAGCAATAAGGGCAGCAGCAGCAGCGGCCTCAACAGCGAGAGCGATAGCAACAACGGCGGTAGCAGCAGGAGGAAAGATGGAGACCAATGTAGTAGTAGTAGTAGCAGTGGTAGTATTAGTAGTAGTGGTAGTTGTAGTAGTAGTGGTAGTACTACTAGTAGTAGTGGTAGTCATAGCAGTCTTACGTGTAGTGAAGATATCAGCTGCTGCTGTTGCCGTTGCTGCTCTTGCTGTTGCAGCAGTGATAGTAGAAAGCTAAAATATAAACAAGATTTTGTATGGGTGTCACCTTCCGCTGCTGTCCTTCTACCCGCTGCTGCCTATGCTGTACAACGTTCATACACAGCGATGTGGCAGCAGCTGCAACAAAAGCAGCAGCTGCAGCAGAAGGAGCAGCAGCAGCAGGAGGAGGAGGAGGAGAAGCAGCAGCTGCGGCAGTTGCGGCTGGTTCCACAACAGTATAATACACTAGCTAGGATGGATGCGGCTACTGCTACTACTACTATTACTACTAGTAATCCTGCTATTGATATTAGTACTACAGCAGCACAACCGATGCGAGATACAGAAGTTAATGCCAATCTAAGATTTTTACACCCTACAGGAGAAACAACAACAGCAGCAAGGACAACAACAACAACAACGCCAACAGTGGCAGCAGCGGCAGCAACAGCAGCGACGGTAGCAACAGCAGCGATGGCAGCAACAGGAGAAGCAGCAGTACCAGGCTACATCGGAGCAGAAGCAAGAAGAGTAGACGCCAGTGCTACCTCTACGGCTGCTATTACCGCTACTACTACGATTTCTGCAGATAGTAACATTAGCGGCAGCAGCCGCAACGCCGGCAGCAGCAACAGCACCACCGCCGCCAGCAGCAGCAGCACTACCCGCAGTAACAGCAACAGCAACAGTCGCACCAGCAGCAGCACAAGCAGCAATAACAAGAACAGCAGCGCCAGTAACAAGAGCAGCACCAGTGATGATAGAAGCAGCAGCAGCACTCCCAGCGATAGTAATAATAGTAATAGTGGCGGTAGTATTTGTAGTAGTAATAATATTTTCGGATGTAGAGATGAAGATATACGAGAGCAACAATTACTTCTGTTTCTCGCACCTCCTGCTGCACTTCAGCAACTACTCCAGTGCTACTACGTCCATCCTGCTGCTGCTGTTGTTGCTGGTGAACGTCGCCTACTCAAACTGGGTGTCCGCTATTTCAGCCTTTGGGATGCAGTAGATCTGCTAAGACGTGTACTTTTATACCACCACCAGCAGCAGCAGCAACAGCAGCAGCAGCAGCAACAGCAGCAGCAGTGGCAAAAGCAGCAGCGGCACCTACTACAACTACAACAGCAGCGACAGCAGCAGGGAAACCAAACACAGCAGCAGCAGCACATGTATGCGGTCCAGAAGCAGGTGCAGCATCAGCACCCGCTGCAACCCCCGCGGCAACAGGGGGAGATAAGAAATTCAGAGGAGTCTCCTAAATGTAGTCATATGTATGATTATAATCAGAATAATAGTAGTAGTAGCTTCAGGAAGAACCGAGATAGTAATATCAAGAGTAAAAGTCTGAAAAATACTAGTAATACTCATAGTGCTCTTCTATCTCCTTGGTGGGTGGGAGCATATCTGGAGCTACTAGATATTTTAGCATCAAATGTATTTCATGAGAACCCTGCTGGTGCTGGTATTCGTGGTGCGGCGGCTGCAAGTAGTAGTAGTAGGAGCAGTACTGCTGCAACAGCAAGAAGAGAAGTACTTGTAGCATTTAAAGTACTAAGACAACTGCCGTTTCTCCCCACAACTGCTGGCCTTCTTGTTGCACCACAGTGTGCTGCTTCTGTGACAACTACAGGCACTACGTCTACGCATCCATCTACTGCTGCAGGTTCTTCTTCTTCCTCTTCTTCTTCTTCTGTAACATCAGCTGCGACAATTTATCTGCCTTCAGAAGCCACTGCTACTCCATCTACTAGATCTTACATAGGTGCACTACAGCCACAACAGCAACAGCAACAGCAGCAGCAGCAGCGACGGCAAGTGCAGCAGCAACAGCAGCAGCAGCGGTATGGGGAATACGCTTTATCAATATCTGCTACCAGTAGAGAGAGAATGAAAGGGCATCCGACTATTCATAGCAGCGATTGTAATATCGGTACCAGTCTTGTCCCTGCTGCTGGTGCTACTAGTGCTGCTGCTGCTGCTACCGCTGCTGCGGCCGCGGCTGGCGGTGGTGATGATGATAATGGTGAATATGCTGCTGATGCTGTCGGTAGTAGTTTTGTAAGCACCCACAGCAGTAGGAGTACGAGAGCGGAAAAGAATACAGAAGAGAGAACGTGGGAAAATAATATCTATCATGTGGAGTTTATGGAGCAGCAGCTACACCAAGTAGAAGCAGCAGGAGGACTACTACCATCGATACATATTTTACATCCGCACGTGTTGTCTCCTCTCACGTCTGCTACTATCGAGAAGTATATTATAGAGACTACAGTTCCTACTATTACTCCTACTGCTGCTGCTGCTGCTTCCGCTGCTGGTGCCGCTGCTGCTGCTACGACTGGCGGAAAGCTTAAGAATATATCGAGAAGTGATCTATGTGCTGTTACCAATAGTAGTGAAGGTACCAGCGTGTATGTACCCCATACAGGTGAAGCTGCTGCTACTGCTACTACTAATACTACTACTAATGCTGCTAACAAGGCGGGCGTTTCTGCTCCTCTTCTTCTTGCTGCTGCTCCTGCTCGTGGTCTCCCTCCTACTTCTGCTGCGACCGCTGGTGCTGGTCTGGCTTCTGCCGCAGCAGCTGCTGCGGGTCTCACCCGTGCTGCTGCTGGTGCTGCCTCTGCCGCCGGAGACAAGCTACCGCTAGCCGAAGGAGGATATACAAATACTCATAAAAAACACAGAGAAGCAGGAGAAGAAGAAGAAGAAGAAGGAGAAGAACACAAAAATAAAGAACTCGAAGAACAACTGATACGGAGGAAACGGATATTAAGGAGTCTACGTCGTCTTGGACTATACCAGGGTCTATCTCCTCTTGTTATACTTCGTCACTATGTATTACCACTGTTACTAAAGGCTTCTCTGCTGCAGTTACTACGAGTGAAACAGCAGGAGCAACAGCGAAAGCAGCAGGTACCACAGCAGCAGCAGCAGCAACAGCAGCTACAACCGCGGCAGCAGCTGCAGCAGCTGCAGCAGCAACAACAGCAGCAGAAAGACATCGAAGAGCAGCAGCTTATAGCTGCTTTGGGGTTCCTAGTAGTTCATCAAGGAATTTTTGGGGATCTTCTGCATACTTGTTGCATTGCTGATATTGCTGCTGCTGCTCTTCCTGCTGCTACTGCAGCTGCACTTACTCCTGCTGCTGCTTCTGCTCACCCTGCTGCTGCTGCTTCTGCTCATGCTGCTGCTGCCGCTGCCTGTCCTCCTCTTTCTGCTGCTACCTCTGCTCCTCCTCCTGCGGCTGCTGCTGCCGCCTCTTCTTCTTTATCTGTAAGCCTGTTGTTGCGCGGTGGCTGCTGGAGCTGCCCTAAACGGCCGACATCTCCGCTGCTGCAATCTCACCCAGCAGATGCATCAGCAGCAGAACCTGCAGCAGGAGCAGCAGCGGCAGCGGCAGGTGGCGTAACAGCGGGAGCAGCACAAGGAAAACAAGAAGTAGACGTGGCTGGAGAGGGCTCAGAAGCAGCAGCAAATGAGAGGAGACGTAGGAGGAGAAGACCGCAGCATGAAGTCGATGATGATGCTGATGATGTGTCGGATCGGGCGTACGTACACCGGAAAAAAGCAGGTGAAAGAATAGAGAAAAGATGGAAAGAAGAGGAAGAGGAAGGAGAAGAAGAAGATATACGTGACAGCAGAACCAGATATGAAGGAAGGATGAACAGCTGCAGTAGGAGCAGCAGTAGCAGCAGCAGCAGCACCAGAAGCAGTAGTAGCAGCAGTGGCAGCAGCAGTGGCAGCGGCAGCGGCAGCAGCAGTAGCCATAGCAGCAGCAATGGCAGATGTGGCTGCTGGAGATATATTACTATAATTACAAGTACAGGAGAATGGGTCTGTCTAGGTGACTATCGCCTGAGATTTGCTGCTCTTGTAGAGGAGGAGGCCAACCCACAGCAGCAGCACAAAAGAAATCTGCTGCTGCAGAAGCTGCTGCTCCTGGCACCTCCTCCTTCTTCATCCTTTACATCACATACAATCAATGCTGCCACATCAGCAGAAGCAGCGAAGGTAGAGGAAGGAACGACAGCAGCGGCAGCAGCAGGAGTAGCAGCAACCCGTGAAGCAACAGAGGCAGCCACAGAAACAGCAACAGAAGCAGCAACAGAAGCAGCAACAGGAGCAGCAGCAGAAGCAGCAGCAAAAGCAGCAGCGGAGGGGACGAACACGACAGCTGCGGGAGCGACAAGACAAAGACAAGCAGCGACGCTACCAGATGCACCAACAGCAGCATCAGCAGGTGCAGCAGTATTGTCTCAACGCCCTGCTCCGGCGTTAGCAGCAGCACTAGCATCAGCAGCGCCAGCAGCAGCACTAGCAGCAGCACCCTCAGCCGCAGCAGCAGGAGAACCAAAGAGGTATCTTCCTGCAGATAAGGAAGAGGAGAACATTAGAGAGAAATTAAAAAAGAGATATAGAAGTAGCTTAGATAATCTGGAGGGTAGCCGATTCGAAGCAGCGCTGGCAGTATTTGAACCAGCAGGCGTGTATAAGAAATATGGTACACCGTTACTGTGGAAATCATTTATATGTAATTTGGGAATACCTAATAGTCTTTTTCCATCTATGACCTCTCTTTCGTATGACTTGCTCTTTGCCGAAGAGAAATTCGCGAAAAATACAAATGAGAAGAAGAAAGAGATGCAGGCGGGAGCAGAAGAAGACGAGGAGGAAGTAGAAGAAGAAGAGGAAGATAAAGAAGAAACAGAAGAAGAAAAACAGGAAGAGAAGAGGGATTGAAAAGGGAAGGAAAAGAGAACGAGGAACAAGAGAAAACAAAGAACACGACCGATAAAAGGGAGCGGAACGGAGAGGCAAGGTCCAGACTCAGTGGTAGTAGCCGTCATCGCAGAGGCCGCAACAGCGGAAGCAACATCGATAGCAGCAGCAGTAGTAGTGGTAGTAGCGGTAGAGAAGTGGGCAACGATGAGCAAGGAAAACAATTGCTGCTGCTGCTGCAAAAACTACAGCTACCTCCCGGAAAGAAGGAACAGGAAAGATACGTTAATGTATATATGAAGAACATATATATAGAAGGTCAGCCTGTAGCAGACAAAGAAGTAGACATGGAAGGTGGGGGCGAGATACCGATTTTTAATAGAGATTATGGGAGGATCTTTCCAGCAACAGCGGATGCCGGTACTGCTGCTGCTGCTGCTCCTACTACTATTGCAGCACGCACGGCTGCTGCATGGAGAGCTGCGCCAAGTGCAAAGGCAGCAGCAACGACAGCAGCAGCAACGGCAGCAGCAGCAACGACCGCAGCAGCAACGACAGCAGCACCAGGAGCAGAGGAAGGGGTAGCACGTGATGGTAGCAGGAGGACAACAATTATAGCAAGAGAAGGCGAAGAAGAGAAGGAGGACAGCAGCAGCAGCAGCAGCAACCGCAGTAGCGACCGCGGCAACGGCAGCAGAGTGAGCAGCACCAACAGCAGCGGCAGCAACACCAACAACGGCGGCAGCAACAGCAGCATACCCTTCTTTGTACCTTTACAAATACATCCACCTTTAGAAGAAATACTTACATGTATCAGAAATAGTAGAAGCTGTAGAGAATGGATATCTTTGTTGCAGTCCGCCCATGCCAGCTGCTGCAGCAGGAGGCGGAGGAGGAGGAGAAGACGCACCAGGAGAAGAAGCAGCATTACTCGTAGCCGCAGCAGAAGCAGCAGCAGTCATAGGAGTGATAGTAGTATTAGGAGTGGCAACAGTAGTATTGGTAGAAGAAGCAGCAGAGAGTCCGTGCAGAGAGGAGGCAGTCGCAGGTGGCAACACAGCAACAGAACTAGAAGACATATGACCTCCACTACCAGCAGCAGCGGCAGCAGGAGCAGCAGCACGAGAAGCAGCAGGAGCAGCAGCACGAGGAGCAGCAGGAGCAGCAGCACGAGGAGCAGCAGGAGCAGCGACAGCAGGAACAGCAGGAGGCGCAGCAACAGCAGCAGCAGTGGGGGCAGCAGCAAGAGTGATAGCAGCGGAGAAGGATACACGAATGATAGAATTCTCAGCACCAGCACCTGCAACAGCAGCAGCAGGGGAACAAGACGAAGAAGACGAACGCAGCAGCAGCTGGTGCTGCTGCACGTCGAAGATTATGTCTCAGTGGAGTTTCATCATATCACTGCTGCTCTATCTTGTCTTTACACAGTGACCCCAGCAGCGACAGCAGGAGCAGCAGCAGCAGCCGCAGCGGCAACAGCAGCAGCAACAGCAGATCTTCCAAATCAAACGAGGGCAGTAGCTGTCACAGCGCAGCAGACGCTTCACGCCTTATATGCTGCACGGAGCCGCAGCAGCAGAGAGCAAGAGCGACAGCAGCAGCACCAGCAACAGCAGCAGCAGCGGCAGCAGCAGCAGCAACAGCAGCAGCAGCCGCGGCAAGAGCCGCAGCAGCAACAGCAACAGCCGCAGCGGCAGCAGGATCAGTTTTGTATGATGCAGCAAGGGAGAGGTGTATATGTCCCGAAGAGTACAGCAAGACGGTCACAACAGACGCCGGTGCTCCCGCCTGGTGCTGAATCTGCGGCTAGTACTACTTGTACTATCGATGCTGCTGCTGCTGCTGCATCAACTGCTGCTGCTGCACCAACTGCTGCTGCTGCAGCAACTGCTGCTGCTGCGGCTGCAGAGAATCTATTGATACAGCGACAAGCTGCGTTACTGCTAAATGAGCTGCTGTATGAAGAATGGCAGCGCGGTGTTCTGTCTCATAAATATCTCTACGCGCCTTGTTATGCTGCTTCTGGCATCGCTGCTGCTGCTGCTGCCTTTGCTGCTGCTACAACTACTACTGCTGCAGCCAGCAATACTGCTGCTGCTTCTGCTGTACGCCTTGGTCCTCCTTCTTCTGCAGCTGCGGCCTCTGCTGCTGCTGCTGCGGTGGCGTTTGCCGCCTCTGGTGCCGCAAGTCTGCTACATACTGCAACAAGTAAAGGCGTTGCCCGTAGCAGCAGCAGCAGTCGAAGCAGCATCAACACAAGTTGGTGTGCTCCGATGAAGGAGAAACACCTGCAGAAGCAACTGCAGAAGCAGGAGCACCAGCAGCAGCCCCTACAACTAGAGCAGCAGCAGCAGCATCGGAGACGTTACTGTTCTGCGTATGATGGGAACGGTATGTTTGCTGCTGCTTCCACATTTCATACGCAGCTCCGTAATCGTCGGTGGTTTCCTGTCTGTGAAGCGTTGCCGTCCGGGCAGGCGTGCTCTACGTTACTTTCTCGTGAACTTATATACACAACCGGGACAGCAGCAGGAGCGGCAGCAGCAGGAGCGGGAGGCGGAATAGCAGCAGAAGGCGAAGAAGGAGAAGGAGCTGCAGCGAGAGCCGCAGCAAACGAGTTACTGTGCAGCGGCGGAACAGGCGCAGCAGCAGGAGAAGATGTAACAATAGTAGGAGGGAACGCAGCAGCGGCAGCAAATGCAGGTGCACGGACAGCAGCAGCAGAAAAAACAGCGACAGGAGAGAGAATAATAGCCGGAGTCAGAGAAGGAGCGGCTACAGCAGGTGAAGCGAATGCAACAGCAGCACCAGGGGAGGCAGCAGGCGACGCAGCAGGAAATGAACAAAGAAGCACAGAAACGCTATACAGTATGCAAGTAGTCCTTGATGTCGCTGGTGAGATGAGCAGTTGCAGCAGCAGCAGCAGCAGTAGTGATGATAGCAGCAAGGGCAGCAGCACCAGCAACAGCAGTAGTAGTGACGGTAGCAGCAACGAAGGGAATAGCAGCAGGAGAAGTAGAAGACAGGAAGGAAGACCCCACAAAAAGATAAAAAGGAGAATTCTCTATTGCAGTAGTACTAAGAGTAGCGGTCGTAGTAATAGCATCAGCAGCAGCAATTCTTTATATGGAGGGCGAAAACGATGCTGCAGCAAGCCGGGTCCATGTAGTTATCGGCCGCCAAGAATGTATCTACACGATGCTTCCGCTGCAGGGGCTACATCAGCAGCAGACGAAGCAGCAGCAGACGAAGCAGCAGCGGGAGGAGAAGCGCAAGAGAAGACAGTGGACCTAAAGGAAGAAGAAGAAACGGAAGTGGAATGGTATTGGCAATATACAGGTCTGGCTGCGCCCGCTTCATTATGTCTGCCTGTCGAAAATGTATTGCGAGTCTATGGCTACTTAGTACGCTATGCAGATCCTACAGCAGCATCTGTATGGTGCGGGGACAGAAGCAGCAGCAGCAGCAGCAGCGGTACCACTAGCAGTAGCAGCACCAGTAGCAACAGCACCGGCGACGGCGGCAGTATTACTTCTAATGCACCAGCCAATATTTTTGGCTTCTCTGTCCTTGTTGGTGCTGCTGCTGCAGCAGGTGTACACAGTCGTAAGGCCTCGCGTGTTTACGTGGGTGGAGAAAAAGAGAAAACATATGGGGTGTGTAGACTCCCAACAGCAGCAGCTACAGCAGTAACAGCAGTGTCAGCAGTAGCAGCAGTTTCAGCAGCAGCAGAAGAGAACAAACAACAGGGGAAAGACACAGTGGCCGTAGAGTGTGACAGCAGGACAATGGAAATAACAGCAGGCAGATTCGATACAGACGAACTCTGCCTTTATGATGCAAGAGGACTTTGGGGGGCGGCAACAGCAACGCCACGGGCAGCAGCAGCACCAGCACCACAACCAGCAGCAGCAGCAACATCGACGACCACAACCGCAGCAACAGCAGCAGCAAGGTAACAAAACGCAGAAGAGGAAGGAGAGGATAGAAGAGCAGCAGATGCTAATTTGTGATTTACTGGGAATACAGCAGCAGCCGTCTACACCTGGGGCCGGTATGCTCTTGCAGCAGCTTGCGGCTTTATACTTGTTATCTTCTTCCTCTCTTTGCTCTCACAGCAGAAACATGCCAGAAGCGCGAGAACAACAGCAGCAAAAGCGGAGTCAACAGCAGCAGCAGCAGAACGAGCAGCAGCAACAGCAGCACCAGCACCAACAGCAGCGGTGGTACAAGGGGAAGAGCTGGCGACAGCAACAGGAACGGCGGCAGCAGCAGCAGCAGCTTGTGTTGGCTTTTGATAAGCTTCAGAGCTGGGGAGAGGAATCTAGAAGAACAATCGGACCAACACCAGCAGCAGCAGCAGCAGCACGAGGCGAAGTCTGGCAGCAGCAGCAGCCTGAGAAGAGAATCAGTACTTACGCGGCATGCATGAATAACAGCAACAACAGCAGCAACAGCAGCATCGGCAGCAGCAACCGATTTTCTTGTGCCTTATATATACAGGAAGGTGTGTATCAGGAGCACGACTGTATTTTTTCTTGTTGCTGCTCCTCGTATTTTTCTTCGCCTACACTATCTTCTACATGCGTTGACTGGATGGTCTCTTGTACCGGTGCAGCACAATGGACAGGGAGGAGCAGCAGCAGCAGCACCGACAGCAGCATCAACGGCCACAGCAGCAGTGGCAACAGTAGCAGATGGAAGCAGAGTAGCAGCAGTTCACATGGTAGTAGCATGCGTAGTACGATTGCTAATACAACTAAGATAGTAGGAGCAGATGATGATGAGGATGACAAAGAAGATGAAAAACAAGAAGAAGAAGAAGAAGAAGAAGAAGCAGAAGAAGAACGTGATGCTAGTCATATGTTAGATTTGATGTGCTGCAGCAGATGTAAAACTGCTATTGATGCAGCTATAAGACTGTTGTTCTATCTTTCTCAATCTGCTGCTGCTGCAGACGCTGCTGCTGCCGCTGCTGATGAACAACTCAGTAATAACAAGAGGAAGAATAAGAAGGGCAAAAACCAGCTGCAGCGGCTGCTGCTGCCGCCGTTAAATTCACATATACAACCTCAGCGGCAGCAAAAGCACCGAAGACAGCTTGTGGAGAAGCAGCGGATGCTGACCAGTATGCATACAGAGAACTGGTCTGTGCACAACCAACAGCAACACCAACAGCAGCAGCAACAGCAGCACCCAGCAACAGCAGGAACAAGATAAAACAACCATGCTATCTACGCTAGATAATAAGAGTAAGTATCAATATCTATGTAGACGGAAGCTTAGCAGTTGTGGTTGTAGTAGGTCTGATATGCTGCAATATATAGCCGCGGTGCTGCAGGGAAAGAGAAATGGGCCACCAGTTCTGCCACTCCCCGAGATAGTGCAGCAGCAGCAGCAGCAACAGCTGCATCTCTCTGCTATTCGAAGCCGCATCAGAAGCAACCGCAGCAGCAGCAGTACCAGCAGCACTAGCAATAACAGCAGCAACAGCAGATTATCTATTGCAGCGAACCATACTACAAAGAATATGAGATGTCTACGTTGGGTGTACCCATTAGATGTATGCTGGCGTAGCCCACCAGGTACTAGTCTACTGCCCTTCGCTGCTACTACTGCTGCTGCCGCTTCTTTTTTTTCTTCTTGTCCTTTTTTTTCTTGTTCTCCTTCCTCCTCATGCTCTTCTTCCTCCTCATGCTCTTCTTCTTCTTCCTCCTCTTCTTCGCCTTTGGATACCTCTGTGTATTTCTATGGCCCTATCTGTACATTTTTTTCTTTGTATATAAAGCAGCAGCAGCAGGAATGGGAGGCGAAGACGAAAAAGCAGAAGCAGCAGCACCCGCAGCAGGACTGGGCTGAACAGCACCAGAGGCAGGAAACAGTGAAGGAGGACGAGAAAAAGAAGCAGCAACAGCAGCAGCAGGAGGAACGACAGGAGGAGGAGAAGCACCTGCAGCAGCGTGTGGATTCTGAAGCAGAACAGAACAAGCAGCAGCAGCAGGAGGAGGAGCAGGCGCAGCAGCGGGAGAAGCAGGAGGAGAGGTATAGGAACACGAAGGAAGTAGAAGTTTGTGGGGTCCATACACGAGCGGCATGGAGTGCAGCAGCGCTAGCAGTACTTCCTCCTGCTGCAGGTGGCTACTGCAGCACGAGCACATGTAGACAGTCAAATATCGTAGATGATGGCGGCGACTATTACTATTACAGCGGCCGCGGCAGCAGCAGCAGCAGTCGTAGCAGGAGAAGAAGGAATAGACTGATAGAAGACAAAGAGAACATCATAACGCAGCGGCAGCAGCAGCAACAGAACACCCCACATCCACTTTTACTATTTAAGCAGCTGCTGATTGTACACGGGCGTATGCCTCGACGGCCTTCTATACCTGCCTGCATCGCAGCATTATGTAATATATCTGGTATGTCTAGTAGTATTAGCCGTGCATGTCTATCTACTGCTGCATATGAAATTTCTAATATTACTCGTAGTCTTGCTACCGCTGTTCCTGCGGGCGCTGCTCCTGGTATCCGTGCTTCTTTTGTTGCAGACAGCATCTACTCTGCTTCTCCCACTCTTCATGCTCCTGCTGCTTTTGATGCTTGGCCTGCGGCTGCTGCAGGTAGTGCCGCTCCTGCTGCTGCCGCTGCTGTACCTGCTGCTGCTGCTGTTCCTGCTGCTGCTGCTGTTCCTGCTGCTGCTGCTGCTGCTCGTGCTGCTGCCGCTCCTACTGCTGGTGCTTTTCGTCCTGCTGCTACTGCTGGTCGGGCTGCTGCAACTAACACCAGTACTGCTTATAGGTACAGTATTACTGGTAATAGTATCGAAAAGAGTATTCATCCTGCTAGTATTAGCACTTCCAGTAATATGAATAGTAGTACTGACAGTCATATTGATACGGATACTACGTCTAGCCATGATAAGACGAATACTGGTGAATATTTGTCGGTAGAAAAGAAGCCGCAGAGGAAAAGAGGAAGAAACATATCGTCGTATTCTTCTCCTCCTGCGCCTCACTTAAGATGCAACAAATATAGGAAGGAACATTCAAAATGGCCTTGTGAACGAGGGAAAGAAGGAAGAGAAAGAACAAGTAGTAGTAGTAGTAATAGTCCGGGTAGGAGTGGTATTGGCAGGAGATTTGATATATATACACAGACGTCCACGGCAGCAGCGGCGGCAGCAAACAATAACATTATTATACCGATAGCAGCAGTGGCAAGAGCGGAAGAGGAAGAAGACGTAGATATACAGAGGGACCAACGTATGTATATGTCAAATATAAACAGAAGAGCTATACAAGCAGTTCTGCTGCTGCTGCATATTGCTTCCAGACTTCAGCAACAGATACAGGCTTCCTGGAGTTGTCAGCAGCGCAAGCAGCAGCAGCAGCAGAAGCAGGGGCAGCAGCAGCAGCAGCAGAGGCAGCGGCAGCAGCAGCAGCAGAAGCAGCGCCAGCAGGAGCAGCAGCAGACGCAGCGGCAGCAGCAGCAGCAAGTCCTGCACACCTCTCATGATGCCGACACCGATATTAGTAGATATACATGTTCTGAAACACTTAATTGTACAACGTGTATATCATCTCCTATTGATAGTACCACTACTACTACTATGTATAATAATAGTGATAGTACTGCTGGTATCAGTGATAAGAATTTTACTGATAGAGAGGCGATTTCTGCTGCTACCGCTCCTGGTACTGCTGCTATCGATACAGCTGCTGCTACTAGTGCTGCTGCTGCGTCCGCTGCTGCTGCTATATTGAAAATACTCTTGCAACATGTTCCAGTACTGCCTGCGTGGGCAGCAGGTATCCAAGTATACAGACGGCAGCGCCAGCAGCAGCAAAAAAAGAAGAAGCTGCGCAGTAGTCATGCAGCAGCAACAGCGACGGCAAAAGTAATAGCAGCAGCGACAGCAACGTCAGGGATACCAGCAGCAATGGGAGGCGGTAGTAGTAGTAGTAGTAGCAGTAGTAGTAGTCGTAGTAGTAGTAAGAATACTAATGATAGTGATAATAAAAGCAGTATTACTGGGTATAGCAATTATGAAGAACACGGGGAAAAAGACGAAGAAGAAGAAGATGAAAAAGAAGATGTCAGAGTTCTTGATAGAAGTTGTTTTTGTTGGGCATCAACTCCGCGCTGCAGCACACAAGCCTCATCATTGAATCTATTAGTACGAGAGGAAGACTGGACTATGTGGAAAGCCTTCTGCCTATGTAAATATGAAAACGCGGACAACGGTAGTAGCAGCAGCGACCACAGAAGCAGCCGCAATAGTAGCAGCAACAGCAGCCGCAACAGCAGCAGCAACCGCAGCAGCAGATGCAGACGCGGCAGCCGCAGCAGCGGTGGCGCTAATAGTAGTAGTAGCAGTAGGTACCATAGCCGCTGTAGTAGCAACAGCAGCTGCAGCAGTTCTAGCAGCAGTATGAACAATTATAGCTGTGGGGGAGGCAGTCGTGACAAAACCAACAGCAGCAGCAGCAGTACAAGCGGAAGCCGCAGCAGCAGCTATATTATTATTATTAGTAGTAGTCGTAGTGATGATAGCAGCAGCAATCGCTGCAGCAGTAGGAGGAGGAGCTATACCACTGGCGACAATGAAGTATTAAATAAAAGAAGGAGGAGACAGCAGCGCCAACAAGGACAGCAGCAGCAGCAGCAGAAAGACATATGTACCGTGAAAAGAAAACAACAACAACACCGGCAGAAAGAGGTGCATACGAGGAAAAGAAGAAAACGGCAACGACAGCGGCAGCAGCAGCAGCAGCAGCACGTTGTGTACAGCAGCACACCTCTTCTTGTTGCGTGGCCTTTCGAAAAGACCTTGGAGTTACGTGCAGCGGCACAACGGCAGCGTCTCTTACCACCTCTGCAACAGAAGCAGCAGGAGCACCAACAGCAGCAGCACCACCAGCAGCAGCACAAACAGCAGCAGCTACGGCAACAGCAACAGCGACAGCAACAGCAGCAGCACGAGGAGGAGGAGGAGACAGAATATCAAAACGGACAGCAGCTACACCGAATGCTGCATAATAATAGTAACACTAGTAGTAATAGGAGGAGTAGCAGTCGCAGCATTGATTTAGTTTTATCAGTAGCAGCAGCCTTGATACCAGTATACTGCTGAATTCTCCCTATAAGTCTTTGGGAAGCAACAGCAAGAACCACAGCAGCATCAGCACCAGGCCTAGAAACAGCAGCACCTGTGAGGGTCTCAGGAGTCTTCTTGCTGCTGCCATCACCGGCTGGACAAGTAGAGTGCTTGCAGCAGCAACATGCAACCACAAATATAACGGAAACTGTAGACATACTAGTCAACAGGAAGAAAAACGAGCAGCACCAGCAGCAGCAGCACCACGTATTCTAGCACCAGCAGCAGCGTCCACAGCAGCAGCAGAAGAAGATACAGATTTCCTTGAGGAGTACGAGATATACGAGGATGAAACACGGACGTTGCTGGTATCACTACACCAAAATAATATCTTTCTATCCCGTGAATCTTACTTTTCTTTTTCGTCCTCTGCTGGTTTCTGTCTTTCTCGATACCCGTCAGAAAGACTGCTGCCTCACTCTCCATGTGATGCACCTACAACAGCGATGCTACATAGATCGGGTGCTGCTGCTGCTGCTCCTCCTCCTGCTATTACTACAACGACTGTCAGCGGTGGTGGAGCTGCTACTGCTGCTCCTGCTGGCGCAGCTGCTCGCACACTGGAGAGAAGATGTATAAGAAGCATCGACAGTACTTATGGCAGCAGAGGCACCAGTTACGGTAGAAGCAGCAGCAGCAGCAGCAACACTACAAATAGCACAAGCAGCAGCAGCGGTGGCAACAGCAGCAGCAGCAGCTTGCTGCTCCAAGATTGCTGGGAACGCCTACTAAAAGACCTTCTACATGCCAGGCCACTACATCAGCAATGTGTTTGTAGCTTACTAGCTCGGCCTCTGTTATCTGATGCTGCTGGTGCTTCTTCTTCTCCTTTTCCTTCTGCTTCTGCTACTACTTCTGCTACTGCCCTCCCTAGCAGCAAAAGAGATTTCAACATTCCTGCCACTTCTATTTTCTCTTCTTCTTCTGCTTCTTCCGGCCTCGCTACTGCTACTCCTGCTGCCTGCGCAGGCGGAGATGCCTCTGCTGCTGCCGTTCCCGGTGCTACTGCTGCTCCTGCTTCTGTTCTTGATAAAGGGGACGATGTTCTTGCCGGAGCTGGTGCCGCTGCTGCGGATGAAGGTGGTGACGCATTTATGAAGGTTGTAGGTGCTCTGAGCTCTACCACTTCTCCTCCAATTTTTTCTGGTTATCTAGGTAGGCACCTTCCAATATATAGTAACAGCAGCAGCAGCACCAATGGACGCAGCAGCAGCAGCAGCGGCAGCACCAATGTCAGCAGCAGCAGCACCGGCCAGAATAGCAACAGCAGCGATATAAGAACTCGCGGTAGTAAAGTCTCTCTCCTACAAACGCATCCGGCAGCAGCAGGAGGAGGGGGAGAAGACCGATGGTTATGTTTCTCTCCTTCACTCTATCTTTTTCGGCTGCCGCTGTCTTCCTCTTCATCTTCCTCTTCTTCGTGTAATATCACTTCTTCTTCTCTTTCGTCTCTTCTTTCTCTTTCCATTAGTCTTCTATATCTGATGCAGCAGTCAATAAAGTTTGGTCGTAGCGCCTGCTGCAACACGTCAGTCATAACACCACAGGCAACGACAGCAGCAGCAATACTAGCGGCAACAGCAGCAGCAAAAACAGCGGGTACAGCAGCAACTGCAACCACAGTGATACCAGCAGCAGCAGCAGCAACAACAGCAGCAGCAGCAACAACAGCAATATCAGCAGCGACGACAGCAGCAGCAACAACAACAGCAAAAGCAACAACAGCAGCACCAGCAACAACAGCAGCAGCAGCAACAACAACAACAACCGCATGTGTAGAATACATTCGCCATACTGATGATTCTTTGTCGAGGAGTACTCCTGCAAACTGTGAAACAATCCGCGCTCCTCTTTCTTCTAAGACTGCTACTCCTGCTGTTGCTGCTGCCGCTGCTTTCGCGACAGCTGGAAGGAAAGACCAATATACTCTAATGGCTGGCGCTGCATTAAAAATTATAATTTGCTGTACTCTGCTACCCGCAGCTCGGCGTTACCTTCTGCTAAAACGTCCTGATGACTATCTGATATTAGGCACTACATGTTCTGCTGATGGTACTGCTGCTGCAGCGGCTTCGCCTCCTCCCCCTCCTGGTGTTGCTGCTGCGCTTCCTGCTGCTGCTGCGCCTCCTGCTGCTCCTGCTGTACATTCTTGTTCTGCTGAGGTGGATTCTCCTGCTGCTGCTGCTCGTGTAGATACAGCTACTTCTGCTGCTGCTGTTGCGGGTGATTGTGGTAATACTGCTGCTGCTGCTGCTGCCGGTACTGAGACACTGCTGCTACGGAGGCTACGTCGCATGCAGGTGCTAGTAGCAGATGAGCTGCTGCTGCAATTTCTGCATCTTCCCACGCAGCAGCAAAGTAGGTGTCTACCTGTTGAAGCTGCTATTGAAGGTATTCCAGAAGTATATGAAGAAGAGCGGTTGCATCTACAACAGAAGCAGCAGACACAGGAGGAGCAGCAGATGCGACAGCAGCTAGAAAATCATGAGCAGCAGCCGCAACAGGTACAACGGCAGCTAGAACAGCAGCATCAGGTGCCGCAGAGGAGGCAGCAGTTCCTGAAGCAGCAACAGCTGCAACAGCAGCTACAAAATCAGCAGCAGCAGGTACAGCAGAGGAGGCAGCAGTTTCTAAAGCAGCAACAGCTGGCGCGGCTTCAGCAGCGGACGCAGCAGCAACCACAGCATTTCCAAGGACAGAAACACCAACAGCAAGCGCGCCAGCAGATTCAGCAATGGTCGAATACGCAGCAGCAGCAGCAGGAACGTGTAAACAACGAGTGGGAGGGATACAACAGCGGTGATCATAGTTATAGAAATAGTAGGGAGACAGCATGCTTATCTTATTTACGTGTATGGACTGTGGTGTCTCCGTCTCCATCATATCTTTCCCGCCCCACAAACTTGCTGTCTTCTCCTAGTTCTCTACGGCAAATACCAGGGACGACGAAAGTAAGAGAAGGAGCAAGTGCATCGCCAAGAGCAGCTTCTTTGTCTTCTCGTAGGAGTAGTAGTAGTAGTAGCAGTAGTAATAGCATTAGTAGTAGTAGTAGTAGCAGTAGTAATAGTAGTAGTAGTGGTGCTAGTGATAGCAGTAGTTGCTGCTATTCACTCCTCAATGCATATGCAGCAGCAACATCTCTTGTCGATAAGAACGGCCGCCCCACTTTTTTTTTCTTTCCCTCCCTACCTGCTTCCTTCTTTGTTACATTTAGTCGTCTCTTCTCGCCCGTTACGTCTGCTTCCTCACCTGCTGCTGCAACAGGAGAAGTAGGAGGAGGAGGAACACCAGCACCACCGGATCATGCACTAGCTACCTTCCTGCATCTCGTCTATAAACAGCAGCAGCAAGTCGCATTGCGCCTTCAGTTGCTGCGTCTGCAACACAAGAGCTTCTCCTCCTTCCAAAGTTCAAAAAAGCAGCAGCGACAGCAGCACTCCCTGCAGCAGAAACAGAAGCAGATGAAGGAGAAGAACACGCGGCAGCAGCAGCAGCATCAGCGAGAACCACAGCGGCAACAGCAGCAGCAGCATCCGAACAAAGAACAAGAGGAGAAAGGAGAAGAAGTAGAAGGAGAAGAAGAAGAAGAAGAGGGAGGGACATACACGCGGCAGCAGCAGCAGCAGAATCAGCAACAGCGGCAGCAGCAGTACCTTTTCAAAATCCGACATCAAGATGAACATAACAGTATAGACGTACAGCAATTACAAACACAAAACATGAAAGAAACAGAAACTGAGAGAAAATCCGAAGAAGAGAAAGATGACGATGACGAAGAAGCAGAAGCACAAGAAGCGGAAGAACAGGAAGAGGTTGGCCTAGATGTAGAAGGATATATAAAGAGCAAAGAGGAGCAGGAGATACTACAGGTAGAAACAGAAGCATTCTTGCAAGCAAATGGGTATTTACTCCCTGAAAAGTTATTGCTACGTCCTTCCTTACAACAGCTACTACACTTCGAGTATAACTACGCGCGTAAGGTATTACCTGCTGCCATCGCTACTGCTGCTGCTGATGCTGCTGCAGCTGCTACTAGTGCTGCAACTACTACTGCCGCTGCTGGTTTCAGTCCTGATGCAAGAGCTGCTGCTGCTGCTGCTGCTACCGCAACTGTGACTGCCGGCACGGATGCTGCTGCTGGTGCGCTTTGTCCAACTACTGCAGGGATGATTGCTGATGCGGCGGCTGGCGCTGCTGCTGGTGCTGCTAGGACTGACACATCCGCTGCTACTGCTACAGCTGCTGCTACTGCTCCTTCTGCTGTTACGGCACCTGCTGCTGTTACTGTTCCTGCCGCTGCTGCGGCTGTTGGTACCGCCGCTAGCATACCAGCCGCTGCTACTGTTGCTACTGCCACTATCTGTACTGCTACAAAGACGTCTGCAGCTGCTGCTGCTATCAGTTCTAGCACAAGAACAGCTGCTGCTACTGCCGCTACCGCTGCTATAACAGACACATCTGCTGCCACGGCCGCTGCTACTACTACTACTACTACAAATACATCTGCTGGTACTGGCGCTGCTGCCATTACTGCTCCTGCGTCTACAGTCCTTGCTGTGACGGGCACGTGCAAGAACCAGAGGGTGCCTAGAAGAACAACGGCAAACAATTACTCAAAAGCAGGGAGAGACGAAGCGTATACTCATAGCAAGGACGTGTACAGACACGGAAAAGAAGAAGAAGAAGAAGAAGAAGAAAAAGAAAAAGAAAAACCCAACGAAGAGGATGGCGATAAAGTAGAAGAAGAAGCAAAAATGGAAAACGAAGAAGAAGAAGAAGCAGAAGAAGAAGAAGAAGAAGAAGAAGAAGAAGAAAAAGGAGTCGGTGGGGCAGAAAGACAGAGGAGGTATGATGAGGCGGGGAGACGAAAGAAAAGAACTAGTAAATAGGCAGCAGAGGATCACAACAAACATAAAAAGGGGACTGCGAAGAGATAGGGATCACACCAGCAGCAGCAGCAGCAGTAAAAGCAGCAGTAACAGACGAAGCAGCAACGACGGTAGCGGCAACAGCAGTAACTGCAGCAGCAGCAGCAGCTGCTGCAGAGAGTTAGTTTCTTCTCTTGCTGCTCCTTCGTCGTTGTTATGGAGTGATCCCTGGGTCAAGATTGCTCTGCTCGACATATATAAGTCTGCTGCTATTGAATGTGTTGCTGCTGCTACTGCTACCAAAGCTGCTGCCGCTGCTGTTGCCGCTGCTGCGAAAGAACAAGAACAGCGAAAAGAAGAAGAGGGTAGGAAAGGAAGAGCTTCCAGAACAGACGAAGATGCAGCAGCAGCAGCAGCAAGAGTAGCAACTGCAGGAGGAGGAGGAGGTGAGGTGCCACTAGCACTAGTAGGTGCCGCAACACCACATATATATAGGGCTACAGAAAAAGACAAAGAGAAAAATGCTGCTGCTGCAGCAGACGATGCAATAAACGCAAGGGCTTGTGTACAAAAGGAAAAAGAAACAGAGGAAGTAGTAGGAGTAGGAGCTGGTCCTGGTGCTGCACTGCCTGCGGCAGATATAAAAATGCCTACTCTTGCCGCTGCTGCTCCTCCTGCACAATATAACACAGAAGAAAGTCCTCTTTGCACCAACAATGAGACTAGCAGCACGCGTAGAGAGGACACGGACGCTGCAGCTGCGGCTGCTACTACTATTACTTCTTCTTCTGCTGCTACCGCTACTGAAGCTGCCACTACTACTTCTTCTGCTGCTGCTGGTGCGGCTGCTGCAACTCCTGCAGCCGCTGCAGGTACCTCTGCTGCTGCTGAAGCTCCTGCTGCAGCTGCTGTAGGGAGGAGTGATATATTAACAGAGGGAGAAAGAACGAGAAGCGCAACACGAACCGACGCGGAACATCAGGAAAGAGGCGCGCTTTCAGAAGAACTGCAGGTA